TCATCAAGTCATCTATTGTATTGTTAGGATACTTTGGGGAAAGCTTGTTGATTCTTTTGGTTTTTGGGTGCTTGGTTGGCCACTGAAACAACTCAATACAACTGATAGCTACCATATTTGGAATTATTCAGGGAGAACACAATCGTTTTGATTGATATTTTCAATGATTTCATTCTCGGGGGGCATCATGTGTATATATGCTTGCAGCTTATCCAGAATTAAAGGAATTTTTATGTCTTTCTTCTTGCAAATACTAGCAAGATCTTTATAGTATGATTGAAGAATATATTATCAGTTTTTCCTTTTTTCCCATAAAGGATTATTATGCTTAAGAAACCTTGTTATATGGGAGCTCGTAGTACGGTAGTAGTAGTAGTTGAGCCAAACTGTAAAGTGTTTAATTTTCATGTGGATAGTTTGCTGCTGCGATTCTTCAGGGCAACAGGCTGCTTGCACGATTATCTGGAGCTAAAATATTCGTTATAATAAAAAATATATATAAAAATCAGTGTTATGTATACAGTATATATCACCTATTTTTAATTTTGTTAACTAGAACTCTAAACGGGTAAGTTCTCAATAAATCCCTAATTCCTTTTCAAACTTCTTTTTCAGTCCCTAGACAAAATAACTTCCACTTCACTCCCTACCCCTCTATTATTCTTCCACTTAACTCCTTCTTAAAATAAATACATAAAAAATTAAGTTATGACATCACTCTACTACTAAATTAACTTTACATATTATTTTATTATTTCTCTCTTTCCACTACAATCTTTTTTAATTTTTTATTATTTTTTATCTCTCTTTCCATATATTTGTTTATTATTTTCTTTTTATAATCTTCAACTATTTATCTCTCATAATACTAATTTTTCTTAATTTTTTATTAATTAATATAAATTTATTTTTGTATAAACTATCCAAATAAATAAAATTATATTTTACTAATTTTCATTTCATATAAATCTATATTATACTAAATCTATAAATCTATATTTTTATCGTTCAAATTTATCAACTAATTCTCTAAAATTAAATTATAAATTATAAATTTTATTAAAAAATATTTATTCTAAGATCTATCTAATTTTCAAGAGGAATATATATCAACTAGTACGATACCCGTGTACTACAAGGGTACGTAAATATATTAATATTTGTACAATAGAAAAACTAAAATAAATTATTTTTATATTGTAAAATTATGTATAATGAATATAAAAAATAATGAATAACTAACAAAGTAATAATTAATTCAAAATGGGGTCCGTATTTTTACACTTAATTCTCTTATATTATTTAAAATCTAGGATAAAACGATAAAAATGATTATTGCATGGTGTATTACTGAATTAGATTTTTATTATATTTGTTATAAAATAATTTATGTTGCATTCATATTTTCGAAATTATTCTTTTAATAAATATAGTTTTATTTATAATGATAGGTGCAATTATTTTTTATTTTTTATATGCAATATGGATGTCAAATCGAAGATCATTAAAATATGATTATTTTGAGATATAACATACAAAAAATAAAATATAATTAAAAAAATTATAAAGATTTAAAAATAAAATGAATACATATTTATTATAAGAATTATTATATGAATTAAATAATAATGAATAAGAGTAGTATATGGTAACTTGAGAAAAAAAAACCTAAAATACTTTATGGTAATTCTCAAGCCTAAAACCGATCATGTATACGTGTCAATACAAAACATATAATTATATCAAATAAACTTCTGAAGCATATGAGCCTTCCATTCAGGCATAGGGCATTCGAAAATTATATATAGGGGCGATTTATAAATTATCATTAATATCTTAGAACAAGTTATTATAGGAATATGCTAAAAATTGAGAACTATATCACCTTGATTTTATAACAAATCAACCTAAAATTCAACTTTCATACTCATACCAAATAAAATTCATGCCACTTATTTTATTTTCAAAATTAAATATACTACTATCCATACCAAATGAAATTCATATCATTTAAATTTGGACATTTCATGCCAAAATAAAACCGCCCTCATTTTATTAATCATAATACTCAACTATTATTTTATTATAAAATTTAGTTTCATATAATATTATTAAAATAATCTTTTAAAATTAGCAACCCAATTTTATTATATGCATATATTTGATATTTTTAACAAACAAAATTTTATACTCTAATAGCTTACGCGACATGAATTTTTACTTACTTTGTGTAGTATAAGAGCCAAAGAACGACGAATTTTGTTAAAAATATTTTAAAACACTAAAAAACTATAATTTTAATAAAATGGCCGTTAATGCGAGATTATATTATTTATTGTGAAACCCCGTGCGTCAAGGACTAAAAATTTAAATATTTATTAGTTGAAATTAAGCGCATCATTTATTTTTTTTAAAAAAAAAAAACAAATAAATACTATAATAGAATATCATGTATTCTAAGCACATCATTTATTCGTTGACTAAAATAGGTACTAGTTGATTAAAATCAGGTACTGCGTAGAAAAACTATCGGTACTATTTGTTGTAAAATGGGTACTATTTTACTAACCGTGATTTCTTTAATTCATCATATCTATCATGTCACGTGGATCGTTCACGCTTGATTTGGTTGAAAATAGTCGAATTTTAGACATATAGGTAGAATCTAGAGTTGTCATGTATGATCATCCAATGAGATGAAGTGTATTAGTAGTGTTTGTTCATTAGTGTGTTGAGTTTGTAACCAATATGCGATTAAACTTAATTAAACACATTTTAAATCTCATAGAAACTAATGTGAGAGTGATAATGGGTCATATAAACATCATTTAAGACCGAAATTCGGTGTTTTTTATGTTCGTCCGAGTTGGTATTAAAGACCCGATATCTGGTACTAAAACACCAAAAGCTGGTACTATCTTACTCTAAGTTTGGTACCAAATTTTGCAAATGTTGATCAAAATTGAAGTAATCCATTTTCGTTGACCAAAAGTAGGTACTAATTAATTAAAAACAAGTACTACGCAGAAGAAGCGCTACTATTTCTGTACTGTTTTAGTAATCGTGATTTCTTTAATCCTCTATGTCTACCATGCCACGTGAATCGTTCACGCGTGATTTGATTGAGAAATAGTGGATGTTGAAACATATAGGTAGAATTTTGAGTTGTCATGTATGATCATTCAATGATATGAAGTGTATTACTAGTGTTTTTTTCATGTGTGTGTTGAGTTCATGACCAATTTACGATTAAACTTAATTAAACACATTTTAAATCTCATAGAAACTAATGTGAGAGTTTACATCATTTGAGACCAAAATTCGTCATTTTTTTATTTTCACTTTTCTCTTCTAAGGAATATTGTTTGATAGAAACTTACCTCCAATTCCTAAATGTTGCTGGATATTATGCAGCAGAGAGGAACATTCTATGCAACAAACAGGGACAAACAATCCATGCAACTCGGACAAGCAATCTTTAACCGGCACATGGTACACTAGTCAGCGAACAAACTAACTGGCGAACACCAATACTTGCAAGAACGGAGGCCAAAAGAGTCAGAATCCAAATCTAAGTTTGCTATGCAATCACATTGAGTTGAGTAGAATTTCCACTAGCACATTAGTCAACGTTTATACACTGCAAGATGAGGCAACCAACGCTAGAGATAGTGGGTACCAGAAAGAGGCTGAGCTACTGAAAAATAATATGTCGGGCTAGTAAAGAAAGAAGCCGAGAGTCTGGAGCTGTTCATGACCAATGAACCAATTCCCTGAGATTCTCTATGGCCTAGATAGTGAGGGTCTGTGTGACATACTTGAAAAGAAAGGGAATAAAGCATCCAATATATGACATTTTAAGAAACATTCTCAACTTCAACAATTCTGAAGACGGGGAAGTGTGCTTGCCAAGATGGAATATATTTAACCCATGCGTGTACCCAAAAGAATGGGAAAGCCAATCTTAGCTTGGGGAATGCCCAAGTAATCATCCGCAAAGATTGAATAAAGTCGGGAAATTTGAATATCGACAAAATCGATACTAGCAAAAGATAAAAATTCAAGAAACAAAGTTTTCCAAAATATTCTTATGTTTGTAAGAAGAAAAGCTGAATGAAAACAACTCAACAATACAAAACAAGGGACACAGAACAACAGGTATGTAATCGAGAACAACAGCATTCAAAACACAAAACAGAACATGACTAATAACAAAAACAACATACACGCACTTTCTAACAGAAGAACAGAAATCCAAATCAAACATAAGCAGCAGTCACCATTTCAATTTTCTTCCTTCAATCGTAAATAGTTATACTAGGGAAAGGAAGGAAAAACGATAAGTTCACGGGAAAAGAAAAAAGGTCGGATCTCTCACTTGGCCATCATGACCTTGACAAACTCCT